TACAGGCTAGAAACATACTTGAATATCTCTTGCTGTAGTCTGATAGTTATAGATACTGTAACAAAAGTTTTCCTGTAGTTCTCATTTTCCTTGCAGATAATAAGTTGCAAATTAGCTGTGACTTCTGTGTGTTGTAGGAAGGTCTGAGGTACATTGTGCTTAAGAGATGACTTTGAAGTCTGATGTGACACAAAATCAGCACTTGAGAAAATTTTGAGGCAGGGTCTCACTGTAGTTGAAGCAGGCCTTGAGTTATGTGTAGTGTAGGCCGGGCTTGAACTTTCCATGACCCTCCTGCCTCAGCCCTTGTGAGTGTATTACAGGGTTGTCCTACCATGCCTGTCTACAAGGTTGTTTTTTGCCTTTTGCCTTTGTTGTAGTAACTTTCAGAAACTTGGACTACTATGACCATAAAAATCAAACGCTTTGGGGGCCTGCTGTGGTGTTGCACCCTGGTAATCCCAGCAGTTGAACAACAAAAAAAGCCTTGTGATTCAGGAGGGGAACACTACTGTCCTGGAATGCTGCAAAAATCAGTTTGCCTGTAATCCTAGCACTTGGGAGGCTGAGGCAGGATTGCTGTTTGAGGCCAGCCTGGGCTCTTGGTGAGTTCAGGCTATTTTGGACTACAGGAGACCTTTTCTCAAAATGGCCTGGGATAGAATTAAACAGCACAAGTTCCTGTCTGGGAAGGTCAGGGTCATGTGCTCAAACCCATTGGTTGGAATGTTGAGCTGAGTTGACCATTCTGAAGGCAGTGAACAGTGTATCTGAGTCTGTGATGGGAGGAGCGTGCTTGCTGATGAAAGGGCAGAATACTGACATTTCTCCAACTTTTTTATTTTTTTGGGGGGGATTTGGTTTTGATTTCTGTAATTTCCCAAAAAGTGTAGGTGCTGTTTCACCCAGCACTATTAAGTGGCAACCATTTCTATCATTTGCAGATCTGAGTACTTGTTTGAAGTAAGACAATACGTTGCTTTCTCAGTGGGGGGACCAATTTGGAAGAAAAGTTACTTTAGGAAACTGCCATATTGCTACTGGTGGTGGTTACAGCCATACTTAATTTTTTTTTTTTTGATACCAGGGATCAAACTCGACCTCGCACTTGCCAGGCAGGTGCTTACACTGCTGAGCTAACTCCCTGGCCCCATACTTTTTTTCTAAAAAGTGATAATCTATTTGTCACCAGCAGAAGTTAAGTGAAGTCAGTGGAAGTGAAGTCATTTACTCTGGACAGCTTAAATCTGCAGCCTCCTTGGGAAACACACTGAAGATAAGTCGAGAATTTAGCTCACTTGCCTGGTAATTTTGAGTTGTACAAAAACTAATGCAGTAATTATCTAGGCCGATTAATTTTACTTTGTTTTTCCAGTGGTGGGTGTTGGAACCCAGGGCCACACATACGTGCACATGCTAGGTGGGTGCTCTACCGCCACTCAGTTACATCCCAGTGGGGCAAAGGATTTTAGAAAACAGGAGATTAAGTCCCTGCTCATTTTTGTTTCCTTTGAGAAAGGGTTTCACTATGTAGGTCAGGCTGATCTCAAACCCTGAACAATCCTGCCACAGCCTCCCAACTGCTAAAGAGGTAAATGTGCCAGCACACCTGGCAAGAAATCAATTTTTAAGGAAAACCAGATTCTGTATTTGTTTAAAAAATGTTACACCTGTGTTGCCCAGGACTGTTTCTAGGCACAGCAGAGAGGTGTGAACAAAATAGCATACTGTTCTTTGAGTTCGTAATTACTGGGGGGACATAGTACAAGCACATAATTCCATTGTGATGGTATGAAGGAAAAGCAGCTACTGTAAGGAAGAGTAAAAGGGACAATTTAGACTGGCCAGAGACTGTTCTGTTGTCAGAACAGCCAAGGCCTGAAGGATAAGCAGTTACAGGGGTATATGAAAACACTTTTTTTAAAAAAAGTGTCCCAGTAGGGAGTCCAGACTGACTTTGAACTTGCTGAGACCCTCTTGCCTCAGCCTCCCCAGTGCCAGGCTTACAGGTAGTGTGTGCTTCAGTGCCTGGCTCACTAATGTTAAGGCATCTCAGTATGTAAGACTTAATAAAAAAAAAGTGAAACTTAGTTTCACAAAAGAAAGCTTAACTGAATCTAACCTAAGCAAATTTTGAAAATGTTGACTGAAATCTGACGAAGTTACCTTTCTGGTGTTCATATCTTACATCAGAGGTCAGATCGTAGACTCCACAACTACCTTGGTTGGGAGGAGATTGAGGTTAGAATGAGGCAGGAGAGCAGTATGAGAGCTTACTTGTAAGATGAGTATTTTTTTGCAATATTTACACAGGCTTTTCCCCCACTTTTTTTTTGGTATCAGGGATCGAACTCGATCTAGCGCTTGCCAGGCAGGCACTTATGCCACTGAGCTAAATCCCCAGCCCCTAGGCTATTCCCTAGTCAAAATGACTTCATTCTTTTTTCGTTTTCAGGTTGCATCTTGGGTGGTACATAGCTCAGGCTGGTTTTGAACTTGGCGTGCCCAGCTTTATTTTTTCTATAGGAGTCATTTAATTTAAGACATCAGTTTGATGTCCCTTAGGGATTTGAAGCCAGGCAAGAGTTCAGCCATAAGCTATATCCAGCCCTATTTATTTAGGAATGAACGAATGGCAGGGTCTTGCCAACTTCTCCAGGTTGGCCTCAGACTTGCAGTTCTGTCTCAGCCTCCCAGCGAGTTGACATTGCAGGCACGCAATGCGCCATGTCCAGCTCTTCCTAACAGTTGGCATTATAGGTATCTACCACTTCATCCTGTCCTGTAGCTATTAGTATCACATATATAGTTTTTCTTAAGAGTTTAGGGCTTCTAATATGTTTTCAGCAAAATTAAATCGCAGTTGTCAATGCATAAGTACCCTCCACCACACCCACCCCCAAATAGAGGTAAAACCCAGGGTTTCCCATACTCCAGGCAAGTGCTCTACCCCTAAGCATCATTCCCAGCCCTCGATGCTTTGTGAACCACAGTAAAGAAATTTTCTCAAGTTTACATTTCTAAACTTTGTACAGGGTGCAGGGGCTTTTTAATTTATTTTTTGAGATAGGGCTTGGCCTGTAGTTCACTCTGACATTGGTCTCACAGCAATCCTGCCTCAGCCTCTTGAGTGCTGGGTTCACAGGTGTACACCACTGTGCCCAGCAGTTTCAATTTATTTTATTTTTTTTTAACGGGAAATTGAACTCACAACCTTGCACTTGCCAGGCAGGTGCACTGTGCCACTAAGCTATTTGGTTCTTCCAGTTTTAGAGAAAAATATAATTTGCATTTGAATCATTGCAACAATTTCAGAATATCACCAATGTCAACAGAAGTTCATAAACTACTAAGCAATTGTAGCCAGTGGTATAGAGAATGTTGGGTTTTGTCAGTGACAGATGAGGTTCTGTGACATAACAGCTGCCTTTTTTCTCTTTGGTATAAAAGCATCAGGTCTCAACTTTCATTTTGTCCAGTTGTTAAGCAATCCTAAAGCTTAAATCTGAAAACACACTGTGGTGTCCACAAATCATCGCAGCCCCTCTCCACTAGGGGGTGAAATGGCTCTCCTCCAGACTTAAATTCCTGTCACTGAACGTGAACTTGGCATTCTGCTGTACTACACTAATCAATAACACATTATGTGCATTCTGGCTCCTGGGCCAGCACCCATTAAATGAATTGTGATCTAGTTTTTGCCAAAAGCAGCTGTGGTAATGGCTATGTAGAGAGACAAGCAAGCCAGTGATTCACAGCTGACCTTAGAGTAACTTCACGGAGCTTGTGAAACAAATGCCAAGCACCTGCTTCCCCCACCCCACCCCACCCCGAGCAGCTCTGCCCCACTGTGGCTGGCACCTTTCCTAGTATTTCCAATAACTGCTTGGGCTAGGACATCTTTCTAGGAGTTGAAATACCTGAAGTATAAAGCCATTTTACCTTATGCTAGACTCAAAAGTGACAAAAATATTCTTAAAAACCTAATAAATTAAGGTTTCACTTAGAAGCCTTGAGTTGCAACCTGACTGCCGGGCCCCCTCCTGTGTGGTTGTAAACAGACTCTTGAGGTCAGAAAAGCATTTGTAAGCATCAGTCTGAGCCCTAACTCCTGATGTTCTTTTGGAAGGGTATTCTCTTTTCAAACAATAATCATCTTCCATTTCAGCCTCCCTTCCTGCAAGCCAAAGTTGTCAAGTTGAATGGTGAATGTGGTATGAAATTTTGTTTCTGCTACACTAGGCAGTTATAATTTTTAGTGAATACACTAGGAAAATTACTGGTGTTTCTGGCAAATTATGCATATGACACAACTTATTTATTATGAAAGGTTAAGGGGTGTTTTGGAATGCATTATAGGTATTTTCATAATTTCTTAAGGGAAAGTCTTGCCTTACAACCAACTTGTATTACAACGAGTCCTAGTGAACAAACTGAGCTCCTAAGTCAAGGCTCCACCATGTATTTTTCCCCCCATTGTGTACTGTAATTAATACTGCCTCTGTAATAATTTGCTGAGTAACTATAATGATTAAATCAAGTATCATCAAAAAGAATTCATCACTTATAGATACATAGTCCAGGACTGCAAATATTTTTAAATTGGTACTGATTTGCTTTCTAGAAAGACTATAAAATTAGAGCAAACACACTGATGGAAGCTGATCTAATAAAAGTGGCCCTCAGTAATTATGACAAGATATCTGGTAGCTCACACTCATCACCTGCTTAGCCTAGATGCTGTGGCTAGAGCAACCCTGGAGCCCTCTCAACTTTCTGGTACCCACATGAGCCCAAGCTGACACCGGAGCCTCCCTGGGCTGACATCCAAGGGAAAAGCGCCCAGTTGTTGCCTCCCTCTGGCCCTTGTGACCACATATCATTCAGGTGATCCTGGAGAAGAGGGACACCAGCACTGTTGTGTTTCTGTCAATGCTGCTTTAAAGACACTCCTCAGCCTTCCCCTGGAAATGCCTGTAGAGTGAAGTCATGGTCAGCACTTTATCAGAAAATATCTTTATTGTGTTATACAAAGTAACTCCAATTACTGTATATTCTTTGTCAATCAGGTTACCAAACAAATTTTATATTGTATGATAGGGATTGCTGACTTCAAATCTATTTTATAGGGCTTTCATTAATGTTCAAAAAACAGTTATTGATAAGAATTTCCTGAAGAAGCAAATATTACATCCTAAAATGAAAAATTAGTGGAATATGGTATAGTCTCAATATTTAGCCCTAACAAACTGTGTGTGGGCTTTTATTTTTTTTTTGTAAGAGCAGATTTTTTTTTTTTTGAGCAGAATATATTTATTGAGAGAAAGAAAGCTTCTGTCTGAGAGAGAGACAAAAGGAGTCCTGAGTGGGTTGACCAAACTGTGAGCTTTTAGCAGAGACTGATCTTTTGTTAAAAAAACTGGACTGGGGCCAAGAGACTGGGATGTGGTTGGGGGATCTGGGTGGGTAATATATTTCATGAGCAGAGTACTTGTGAGTAGGCAAATCTACAAGTTGAGGTTTTTTTCAGGTTTAGTTTTGGCTTCATTATTTTCTTGAACTCATAGCTAACCTCCTGCCTCAGCTTCCCAGATGCTTATAGTTTTAGCTTCACTATTATCTCTCTGATGAAGACTGAATAAAGTATATGAGTAAGATCGCTATATTGGAACTCCTTACTATATGAACTACCTACAATTATTTTCAGATATACAAAAAAGCATTTTTAAGAAACAGTACTAGAGGGCTGGGGATATAGCTCAATGCTATAGCACCTGCCTGGCAAGCATGATGTCCTGAGTTTGGTTCCCAGTACCAAAAACAACAAAACAAAACAAAACAAAAAAACACTACCAGAATCTTCTGGGTGTGGTGGCACACATCTGTAATCCCAGCACTCAGGAGGCTGAGGCAGGAGGATTGCCATGAGATTGAGGTCGGCCTGAACTGACAGTAAAACCCTCTCTCAAAGACAAAAAAATAAACATAAAAAGTACTGAACTTTTTATGTTTGAACCCAGGGTCTTCGCTATGTTGCTATTTTATCTGGGCTGGGACTGAATTTGGGATCCTCCTATCTCAGCTTACCAGAATGCTGCGATTATAGGCACACAACATGAATCCCCCCTCAAAGAGCACAAATGTAATCTCTATTTTCTTCATAAATAAATGACAAACCTCACAGAGCTATGTCCACAGGTGTTAAAATAGTTATCTCCTATTTATACTTTTGTACAGATTAAATTATTCACACTCTAAAAGTCTTCTTTTGTGGACGGAAAACTATAACTCTTGAAATTTGCCTGTATCAGTTAAGTGTGGATCATCGGGGGAAGATCCATTCTCAACTGCCTGTCTTCGATGAACCATCTTCACAAACTTGAGCAGATTAACGATGGCAGCTGGGGTCACTCCAGGTACACGACTGGCAGCCCCAATCTGGGAATTAAAACCACAAGAGAATCATCAGTGACATCAAATTACACCTCCTGTCCTCCTAACAGTGTGGTATATTTCACAACACGTTTACATTTTGAGATGGTGCCCGTCTATGTTGCCTGGGCTGGCCTCAAATTTCTGGGTTGAAGTGACTCTCCTGCTTCAGGTACCTGGTACCGTGCTACAGGCTTGGACTACGATGCCCAGCTTTTTAAAAAATTACTATCTTACTGTAACTTTATTCTTTTTCTTAATGGACCTTCAAAACAAGTAGGTAAAGGAAATGTGATTTTATGTCTTCAAGTCTGAGAAGACGGGGCTGGGGATTTAGCTCAGTGGCATAAGTACCTGCTTTACAAGCGTGCAGTCATGAGTTCAATCCCTGGTACTGATAAAAAAATAAAAATTAAAAAAGTCTGAGAAGATGATTTGTGTAAGATCACTAACTACTTTATCTATTCACTAAACTAAGAAAACCCATACTTGAGTTCTGTTCTTCGATCCAGCCCCACGGTCCCTTATTTGGAGTCTGGAGTTTCTGTGCTGAGGTCTAATCCCATACAGAAGGTAAGAGCTCCATGGGTGGTGGGTGCACCTCACAATCTCAGTTCTGGTAGAGTGTTTTCACACAGATGTGTGAATACTCACTCAGAAAAAGACCAAACAGCCTCATGTCAGGTGGGATCAGTTGTTATAAAATGATTTCGTAGCCAAGTTTTTCAGTGCTGGGGATCCAATCTAGGTCCTCATACACCACAGGCAAGTGCTGTGCCACTGTCCCAGCCCTGAGAGCCTTGCATCATTCGCAGGTGCAGCCGAGGGGCTGTGAGCGCTGACCTGTGCTGTGCTCTGGAATTTCTGTGATGCTGAGAATCCTCTGCAGCATTTGTGCTGTGGCAGTATGGAGTCCAATTTGGCAGCAACTCACCGACAGGTGGCTCCTGGGCACTTGAAGGGTGGCTTATGAGACTTAGGAGCTAACTGTTAAATTTTATTGAACCATAATTAAGGTAAATGGCTACACGTGGCTAGTGGCACTGTGTTGGGCAGTGTAGCCAATGATTATTCAGAGAAACTTGACCGAAAATCAATAGGAGGAGGGGAGTTATAAAATGTGAGGCCTATTTGCCTGGTTTACATGGTATCTATTGCAAAGAGTATCACATTACATTCATGAGATCACTGCTCCAGGTAAAATAAATTTTGAAGCTGGGCATGTCAGCCCATGCTTGTAATCCCACCACTCAGGAGGCTGAGACAGGAGCATCACCAGGAGTTTGAGGCCGGCCTGAACTACACAGCAAGGCACTGTCTTGGGAAAAAAAAAAAGTTTTATCCTCCCAGACTGTTTTGGTAAAATGCCCTATTTTATGAACCCCTATTTAAAAACTAAACTGCCCATTTTTTTTATACTTTGTAATACTGAGAGTTCAACTCAGGGCACTGTGCTTGTTCTGCACCACTGAACTAGATCCTCAGCCCTTTTTTTCTTTTTCTTTTTGAGACAGGATCTTGTTAAGGTGCCCAAGTGAGGCTCAAAATTGCAATCCTCCTGCCTAGATGCCTAAGCAGCAGGAATTACAGTTGTGTGCCACCATACCCAGCTAATTTTTAATCTTTAACCCAGTTCTAGAGATGTCAAAATACAGAAAAATGTGCATGTCAGAATCAATAAATACTGCCAAGGGTGATGCCACACGCCTGTAATCCCAGCACTTGGGAGGCTGAGGCAGAAGAATCACTGAGTTTGAAGCCAGCCTGGGCTACGTAGTGAGTTCAAGGCCTGCCTGAACTTCACAGCAAAGCCCTGTCTCCAAAAAAAGAAAGAAAAGCATAATAGAATAAATAAAGCATCTTTTCTTTTTTTATGCGTATACTGGGAATCAAACTCAGGACCTTGTGTTTGCCAGGCAGGTGCTATAATAAAGCATCTTTTAAAACATTTAGAAGTCCAATGTTACTTAATAAAGTACTTTAAAGAAATTTGCTTCCCCACCTTCACACAATTAGGCAGACATACAGGTGGAGGTCCTCGGGGTTTCCTCTCCCCACAGCTTCTAAGCAGTGCCATGCAGCCCTAGGAGTGACGGGAAAGCCAGCCATGTGTTGTCTAGGTCATACATCCAGGATGTGACTTTACACTGGTGGTTTAGCACACAATAGTACAGGCTGATAGTCAAGCCAGTTCTTAGCTCCAATTATTTATTTCAACTAAGCTTTACTATCTCTCAGAGACCAGTGTCTCTCACACAGCAATAAACTACAATGTAAGATTTTTATTTGTTTTGAGACGGTTTTGCCATGTAGTACAGGCTGCCTTTTGAACTCATTATGTAGCCCAGGCTGGCCTCAAACTCATGGTGATCCTTCTGCTTCAGTCTTCTAAGTGCTGGGATTATACTTCCATCAGTGCCCATCTTAAGAATCTTATGAGTAGGGGCTGGGGATTTAGTTCAGCAGCATAGCAACTGCCTTGCAAGCAGGTGGTCGTGAGTTCAATCCCTGGTACGGATAAAAAGTTAAAAAAAAAAAAAAAGAATCTCATGAGTAAATAAAGCATTGGTTTTACGGCCACTGTGAGCCCCACTGGCTCTTTGCTAATCACTTGTTTGCTTGCTTTCTTACCGTCTGTGGACGACTGAGATGTAGTTTCTCCCGAACTTCATGGGACAAAGACACATCTTTGATACCCAAATAATCCAGGTCTTCTGGCAGCTGGAGGGCCTCATCTCTCTGAACTTCCTTTATTTCTTGTAGTTGATACAGTAAGATGGATTCGTAAGAGGCTGGTGAACAAAATGAGCAAGTTTTTTTCTTTTTTTTGCCTTTTTGTTTCATTATGCAATTCAGACTGGCCTTCGAACTTGTAGCAATTCTCCTGTCTCAGCCTCCTGAGCACTGGGATTACTGGCGTGTGTCATCACATCTGGCTGAGAATTAATATTGTATACCAGAGTACATAAACAACCTACATTTGCACAGCATTTCGCTCTCATTGTTTTTAGAGAGCTATGCATCAATCATTTCATCCAACACTCATCTCTATACCACAACACAGTTTTCTTCTACAGGAGACGGAGCTAAGGGAATAGCTGGGTGCTATGGCATAGGACTGTAACCCTTGCACTTGGGAGGCTGAGGCAGGAGGATCACTGCAAATTTGAGGCCAGCATAGGCTACAAACTGAGTTCAAGGCCAGCCTCTCTGTGGTTTTGGTAGTGTGTGCTGCCAGCAGCCAGCCAGTCTCATCTCTGACTGCGGCTCCACCAGAGAACTGCCCATGAGGGCTGCCTTCATTGCCCTGGGCCTTGGCTTCTTTATGGAGAGAAGCAGGTCTGGAATGGAAGACACCCGTGGTCACAGGAGTGCTAAGGACAACCTTGTAGTACACAGGCTTTGTACACAGTCAGATAACCGAGGTCCAAATCCCAGCTGTGCCACTCACCAGCTGTGGGATTTTTAGTAAAGTATTTTATTTACTTGTGAAGTTAGAGCAAAATGCTACAGTGGATCCTTCACAGGGTGGGTTTAAATATCAATCAAAGTAATCTACAAAAGGTACAGTACAATATTACAACACATTAGCAAGCAAATTATCATTTTATGACCTAGAAGACTCTTCAGGGTCTCATGGAATATCTGAGGTAATGTATGAATAGTATACCATCACCCCACAGTTCCTACCCTTCTCCCACATCATCTTGCCTGTGTCTTTCTCATTACATAATTTTTCTGTCCAAGAAAAGTGTGTGCTACCATGCCTGAAAACAGCCGATCTTTTTTTTTTTTTTTTTTTGGTGCTTTAAACAATTTATTTAACTGAAGTGACTTCCATTTTATTTTGCTACATCTTTTCCCCATGGTGATTTATAGAATTTTAAAGTCAATATAAATATTTCATAAATACTTGGCCATTTGGGTATACACCTACATGATACTTTAGCAGTCTTTCAGCAAGAAAAACACTGAAGAGCAAAGACCTGACACAGTTAAGTAGGTAGAATGAAAATCTACTCCAAATATTTGTTTCTGAGGTAAAGGTACCACACCTGTTCAATTAAGAAAACCATTCTTACAATGCACAATGATTTTTTATCTTTTGTAGGGCCCAGAACACTTAGCCACCAATTAGGCTCTGAATGTCAGGGCTCCCTGCCTAGCTTATGCCATGAGTTCACAGGGAATAGCTCCAACAACTCAGGCTCCTTCCCACTGGTTCCAGTGTGCTTCCCTGATTGGTGCAGGCTGGTTCCATTCTCTTTGGCGTCCTTCTTTTTCTGACCATTTTCCTTGACATGTTTCAGGAAGCTATTATGACTCTTTGAGTGTTTAACATCCCCAATACACACATTAATCCCCTTGGCAAGTAATTTTCCCTTAACCGGCTTGTTTATAACAATGCCAGCAGTGTGCTGGGTAACACTGTAGACTCTTCCTGTTTTGCCATGGTGATATCTGTGTGGCATTCCTTCTAACACAGTACCCATTCCCTTGTTGTCTACAATTTCACCCACTTTGTAGATTCCCATGGGTGTGGCCAAAGGAGCAACCCCATGTTTTCGAAAAGGCCTAGAGAACGCGTACCAGGTTTCCTTCCTCTTTCCCTTGGTGTTCGTCATTTTGGCAAATGCCTGTAAGATGGCAGTTACAGCAGAAAAGCTTAGTAGCCAGTCTTTTATTTGTCTTTCTGAGACAAGGTCTCACTATGCAGTTCGGGCTGGCATTGGGCTCACTTTGTAGCCCAGGCTGGTCTCAAACTCACAATGATCCTCCTGCCTCAATCTCCCAAGTGCTGGGTTACAGGCGCCTGGCACCATACCAGGCCCTAGTAGTCAATCTTATTCTAATTCTATTTCCCTGTTTGAAATTCTTCATAATAAAAAACTAGAAGTATCGATGTAAAAGAAAACAAAGACAATGGTGGCTCTGATTTACCACTGTAACATCACATGTTACAATGTATAGGAGCTTACTGAGGCAGAGTTAAGTTATCTGTCACAGGTGGATAACCTAGCACACTGTCAAATCCAAAGGTAATAGTACTGTTTCATTATTTAACATTGAGGGGACAACATAAAAACCAGATTCTTTTCTCCCTCCTTCCCTCCCTGCCAGCTTTCTTTCTTTCCTGTTTTTAATTTTTTTTTTTTGGTGGTGCCAGGGATTGAACTCACAACCAGGCACTTGCACCACAGAGCTAAATCCTGGGTTCTCGTTTTTTTTTTTTTTTGAGGGTTTCGCTGTGTAGCCCAGGCTGGCCTCATATTCATGGCCATCCTCCTGCCTCAGGCTCCAGAGTGTGTGGCTCCACACCCTGTCAGGTTCTCTTCTTTAAAAGAGAGGTCTAGGCTGGTCCGATGGCAGTGGGTTATCAGAACTTATTAACATTAGTGTCACTAAAGTTGGTATACCACCCCCCCCACTGCTAAATTTGACTGGCTTTTAAAAATAAAAAAAATAAAAAAAAGAGAGGTCTACAGCGGCATTCCCCAAACCTATCCCGTGCACATGATGGGTCTTGTGGAGATGCAGATTCTCAGCAGGCCTGAGGTGCTGCACACACACACTTCTGACAAAGCTCCCAGGTGTGCAGTGCTGCTAGAAGCCTGATACCACGCTGGGCCCACAAGGATCAAGGGTCCCCCTGGTGCACAGCTTTTTTAATTTATTTTTTCTTTGAGACAGGGTCTCGTAATGTAGTTCAGGCTGGCCTTGAACTCACCATGTAGCCTTGGCTGGCTTCAACATCTTCCTGCCTCAACCTCCCAAATTCTGGGATTACATACCCTGCCCAGTCCTTGACACACAGCTCTTAATGGATTTACTGTCCACTCATAATTTGCACAAGCAGAAACAAGAGTACCATTTGCAGGAAGCTTAAATCAAAAATTACTTTCTACCTTCTATTTTTAGCCTCTCAGCTAGCTCTCGACATTCAGTATACTTCTTCAAAGGGTCTGGAACAGCCTTGGCCAACAACTCCATGTCCACTTCCTCATACTTCAGGACATCTAGAGCCCTGTAAATACACAAGTTTCATTAACGTAAGAGTCTGCTTCACCTAAAGCAGTGAAAGAACCACCTTCTTTGGAATTACCCAATCTCAGAGTAAATAACCAAGATACCTCAATTCTTCCCAAGCACAGTGAGCAAACACACCACCATCTGCAAAACTGTATGATTTTAAAAGATTCAATATTCGACTGCCCTTGACTCTATCATGAGGATTAAGTTGCTCATAAGGGCTGTCTAGTTAGAATCCATTTGTCTTCTGTGTAAGGACAGAAGACTTACCCTTTTACATCCTGGGAACCATAAAGGAGGTCTTTTTATTTATTTATTTTTAAACATCTAGGGATTATTGGCCTTTACATTGAGGTCATCTCTAGCTGCCTTCATATACATGTATTTTTTTCATTTCTAGGACAGGGTGTCATATGTAGTCAGGCTGGCCTTGAACAGGTGACCCTCTGGCCCAGTCTCCCAGGGGCCTGACCAGTGTGTACCACCATGTGGGGAGCGGCTGAGCTGGAGATCAACCACACATTCGGGGCTAGGGCAAGGCAAGCTCCAAGAACAGGGAGCACCAGAGGCCAGTCATGTAAGCAGGCTCTTGGGACCAAGCCAGGCCAGTCCAGCAGGTGTCTCTCTGTTAACTACAGCACAGAGAGCTCCGAGAATGTTTTGCCTTCAGTGCACTCAGCAAAAACACTGAGACCTTGCAAGTTCCGCCCTGTCCCACTCTTCTCCCCATTTTCACAGTATATAAAGAAAGAGGCAGACTGAGCTTGCTGGGTTGTTGCTGCCTTTCCACTGGAGAGGTCAGGGCCCAGTCCCAGCATTTCTTTTAGTACATGTCTGTAGTTCTTAATCTCCTGTCGCCCTTTCAGGACCCCACTGGCTGTGTGGGTCGCGTCACCATCTTGCCCAGTTCTGATTTTCTCACAGCGCTCCAAAGAACAAGAGGCCATGGTGAAGGCACTATTGATTCTGGAAAATGAACTGATAAAAATAATACATAAGTTCAAAAGGATCCTTCCAGCCTGGTATTTTCTTCCAATTTGGTAAAATGTTTCACTCCTTACCACATGGGAGCTTCTGATAGACATCTTAGATTTCTGCTACTCACTGTGGTCGGGCTAAAGTCTCCTGGAGGAAACCAAGGAGACAGAACAATACATGCCTGGAGCTAATCAGAAAAACTGTGATAATCCCCACATAATTTACACAGGTCATCAAAAGAATGTGCCTGAGGGTTAGCCCAAGGGAGATCAGGTGAGACTTGCTATGACTTCATTCACTGGGGACAGAAAACAGGGTGTGCTGAGCCTCGGAATGCCTTCCACAGAGCTCTTGGGTCTCCCCTTGCCTGCCTCCAACCCTAATTTGACCCCAGAACCATTCTATCACGGAGTTAACTAGACCACTTCTTGTTTGGTTATTACTTACATTATTTATTGTTTACATGAGGCCTTTTTTTTGGTCTTTAAAAGGCACTGGGAGGGAAGATTGGGAGTATTGGCCCCCAATAGGAGTAATGGTGTTTTGAACAGAAACAGAACATTTCATATTAAAATTCACATGGGCTATCAAGAACCCTAAATGGCCAAAACAATTTTGAAAACAGAACACAATTTCCCAGGTGCTGGTGCATTCCTATTCCTGTAATGCCAGCTCTCGGGAGGCTGGTCTTGGGAATGATGGGTATCCACACTGCAAACAAAATGGCTTAAAGACCTAATTATAAGACCCAAAATTATACAGGTATAGAGGAAAAAAATATATAAGCTGGACATTGAATTTGAAAAATTATCTATTTGGTGCCAGGGACTGGATACAGGGCAGAGTACATGCTAACCCTTAATCAGACTTTTTTGTCTTTTTGAGACAGGGTTTCTCTATGTAGCTCAGGCTGGTCTCAAACTTGCAACCATCCTCCTGCCTCAGCCTCCCGAGTGCTGGGATTACAGGCGTGAGCCATCATACCCCGCTCTTTAATCAGATTTTAAAAAGTCCATTTGTAGGCATGTGTGGTGGCACAAGCCTGTAATCCCTGCACTTTAGATGGCTGAGGCAAGACAGCCTGAGCAACTTTGCAAGAGCATGTCTCAAAATAAAAAATAAAAAAAGGTTTGGAGCTCAGGGCAAAGGCCATGGATTTAATCCTTAGCACTGCAAAAACAAAAAATGAAAAACACTACTCATGTTTAATACAAATACTAATTTAAAACTTTTAAAATAGATAAATAATTGATAAAGCATCATGTTAAAAATTCTTTGTCCAGGGGAGAGACATAGAACTCAACAACAGAGCACTTATCTAGCACAGGTATGGTTCTAGGTTTGATTCCCCATCACAGACAAAACCAACCAAAACAAAACCCAAAAAACGTTGTCCAATTTTCCAAATAATATAAAGCCTTATAAAAATGAACAAATGAAGAACTGCTGAAGGACTGAGTAAACCATAAACTGCTCATGACTGCTATTTCCTAGTGTTGATTCCCTGGGCCACATTGCTGACTTTGGTCTTGAAGGTTTCCCATGCAGGTAGCATGGGCCTTGTGGCCACATGGAACTCAGGAAGTCTTCGGGGGAGGCAACAGGTATGCAGTTCTCATGGGAGCAAGTGTTGGAGGGAGAGTGTACCCACCGCCTCCCTGCCTGGGTGCCTTCAGCCATGACACCCTCACCAGCAGCCACAGACAGGGCTGCCCAGCCATGGCTTTGCAGTGTCCCAACAGTAAGCCAGACACGTGTTTCTCTCTGTCTTACTCCCTTTCTCTCTCTCTTTCCTTCTTTTCCTCCCCCAACCCACTCTGTCTCTCTCTCTCTCTCTGCAGCTAGGCTTTCACTGTGCAGTTGAGGCTGGCCTTGAACTCACTGTGTAGCCTAGCCTGGCCTCAAGCTTGCAGTGCTACTCCTGCTTCAGCCTCCTGAGTGCTGGATTACAGACTGTCACCATGCCCAGCTGATATATTTCTTTAGAAAGTATTCAGCTTTAGATATTTTACCACAGCAACAGAAAACTAACTAATATGGCCAATCAGCAAATGTGTCACTGCTTTGTTCTGCATGTTGGATTCTTGCCTAAATTCCTATATTGGAACCTAAAATCTTATTGCGATACTAAGAGGTGGCTAGCCGTAATGAATGCGATTGGTGCTCTTACAGGGGCTTGAAGGAGTCCCTGTTGCTTCCACCATGTGAAGATGCAGAAAGAAGTTGCCATTTTGGAAACAGAAGGATCCCTCGGCAGATAACAAATCTGCTTGTGCCAGAGATTGGGCTCTTCTCTGTCTAGAATGTGAACAATCAATTTCTGTTGTTTATAAATTACATAGTTGCCAAGTGTGCTGGAACATGCCTGTGGTCCCAACAATTGCAAAGTTGAGGCAGGAGGATGGTTGTGAGTTCAAGGCCAGCTTAGGATACATACCGAGTTCAACGCCGTCCAACTACATAGTGAGATCCTGTCTTAATACACAAAAACCCCCAAAACTAAATTATGTAATCGAGAGTTTTCTTGTTTTGTGGCTTTGTATTTATTTTGTGATGTGGGGAATCAAATCCAGTATCTCCTAGCCAGGTCCCATCTGGGTATGGTGACCTTAAGAGACATTTAAGGTGCTTAGGAACGTATTTGTATGTCTTTAGACTCCAAGCTCACATAACTGGAATGACTGAAAACAAGAACACAAAACCTGAAATGGAGCAAGGCTTCTCAAGTAAATTCAAAGAAGTGATAACATTCTGCTTTGCTCTGTCAAAAGAGACTCCTTACTATAGCTCACGAACAAGATAAGGCCATACGATTGTTCTAAGCCCATTAAACAGAACAGATACTTCTTAGTTTGGGTCTTTTAAATTTTAGGAAAACCAAAGGACTCAAAAGCCATGATATAAAGAGAAATAATAGTAAAAAAATGAAAATAATTTTATGTGATTCTTAAATATATATATATACACATGTGTATGTGTGTACATATATATTCCATGCTATATATGTATTCTACCACTGAGGGTTTTTTTTTTTTTTTTTTTTTTTTTTTGTCTTTTTTTCATTTTTATCGGTACCGGGGATTGAACTCACAACTGCCTGCTTGCAAGGCAGGTACTTATGCCGCTGAGCTAAATCCCCAGCCCCCTACCACTGAGTTTTTATATATATAAATAGATACACACATACACTCACATGTGTTTTTTTTCTTTTTGAGACAAGGTCTCGGTATATAGTTGAGGGTGGCCATAAACTCCATTTGTAGCCTACACTGGCCTCCAACCTGAGGTGATCCTCCTGCCTCAGCCTCCTAAGTGCTGGGATTACAAGCCATATACATATTTAATACTTAAAAAATAGGTGAGTTACATCTAAAACTTTCTGAAAAGAAGCCGAGAACAAGTAACATTCACTTAAAATGTGTAGGGAATCTGTAGGCGATGTCACACTGATATAATCTAGTTTTTCTGCAAAGAGAGAATCTGTATGAAAAATACATACCTGACAGAGACACTTCTACTGGTACTTATAGAAGCCTGTGGGACTAACTTTTTCCACTTGGTGCTTGAACACTCAATAGATTTCAACACAGCAATGCCTTCCTCTAAGGAAGACTTCATCCAAGCAGCTCTGTCATACCGCTGCTGGGACACACAGCCAGCTTCCTTGTACCCTAGGAAAGAAGAGAATGTAAGGTAGTGGGAGAAGTTTTAACGAAGAGGAAGCCAGGCTGCAGGGTGCGGCAGAATCACCTCGGAATGTGAGCCGGCTGTCGGCGTTATCTGGGCGCAGTGATAGACGGAACTCAGCGCGGCTGGTGAACATGCGGTAGGGTTCACTGGCGCCCAATGTGGTGAGGTCATCGATCAGGACACCTATGTAGCCTTCTGTCCGGCTGACAATGAAGGGCGGTTTGCAGTTGATCCGAAGACTAGCGTTCACTCCCGCTATCACACCCTGTTGAAAAGGCCATTATGAGCTAAGCAATTTGTGCTGCCTTACGAAGAAGACAGCCTGGACAGGGCGGTGTGAGATACCAGGAAAGTGAGCCTAGAACTTGGGATCCATATTCAGAAAGAGAACATGGGCAATGCCCCATGTTAATATGCTCCCATAAACACCCAACATTTCTCAAAGGCCAGAGAAGTAGTTCATCTTTTTTCTCAGACTCACCTGTAAGACTGTTAGCTTTTTCCCACTTATAAATAAAAAACAATTTGTTTCTTATTTATTTAATTTTTGGAGACAGGGTTTTGCTATGCAGTGCAGGTTGGTCTCAAGTTTACTTTTAACTCAGCTGGCCTTAAAACTTCCAGTGATCCTCTGGTTTGAGCCTACTAAGTACGGGGATGACAGACAGGTGGGCACCACCACACCGGACCAAGGAATAATAGTAATTTTCAATAAAGCAGTTATATTAAAAAAACTAAATTTTCTTTAGAAACTTCAGAAGCAAGCCAGGCTTGGTGGCACATAACAGTAATCCCAGCACTTGGGAGGCTAAGGTAGGAGAATCATCATGAGTTTGAAGCCAGCCTGGGCTTCAGTGAGGTGTTTTTTTTTTTTTGTCTTTTTCATTTTTATCAGTACCGGGGATCAAACTCACAACCGCCTGCTTGCAAGGCAGGTGCTTATGCCGCTGAGCTAAATTCCCAGCTCCTTGTTTTTTTTTTTTTTTTTAAACAGTGAGCCAGCCTGAATTATATAGTAAGATTCCTATCTTAAGAAAACAAATTAAAAAAAAAAAAAAAACTTCAAAAGCAACATGACAAATCTAATCAAAATATGGTATCAGTCTGGGCACACTGGCTTAACCTATAATCCTAGCAGTAAGGAAAGGTAAGGTAAGAGAATTACAAACTAAAGCCCAGCCCTGGCAACTTAGTAAGTTTGCAAGCCCATTAAAAAAAAAAAAAAAAAAAAAAAAATTTAAAACGGCCAGGAATGTACCTAGTGGCAGCATGCTGTTGTTTGAATCTACTAAAAACATTATTAAAAAGATATCAGACCTGGGAGTTCAGAAAAGTGTCATAAAACCACAAGTAGCTGGGTATGGTGGTACATATTTGTAATACCAACATCCTAGGGGACAGGAGGATTGCAACTAAAGCCCAAACTGGGCAATTCTGCATGAAACCTTGTCTCATAAACATATATAAAAGGTCTGCAATGTAACTCACAATGAAGGCCCTGGGTTCAACCTCACTACCAGTGCCCCACACCCCCAAAAAAGAAAAAGTCATGTTCTAAAAATCCTATTTCCATGTTTCAGATGCCCTGACACAAGGTACCTTCTGTTACAGCTTTGCACGGCTCATCGGCAGACACAGGAGAGCCCCGGCCATGCAGTCCCCTACTGCCACCTCAACACACTCTCACCTGAGCTGCAGCTTCCTCATAACCTGTGGTGCCGTTGATCTGTCCAGCAAAGAAGAGTCGCTGAACCAAACGGGTCTCAAGGGAAGGTGTGATCTGCCGGGGGTCTAAGTAATCGTACTGCACACCATAGCCTGCCCAAAGAATATACAGCATACAGTAAGTGAAAATAGAGATGAGTTCCCTAAGACGAAAATGCAAAGATTATCACTAAATGCCCCCCCACCATTTTTTTTTTTTTTTTTTGAGACGGGGTCTCGCTATGCAGTTCAGGCTGGCCTAGAGCTCACTTTGTAGCCCAGGCTGGTCTTGAACTTGCATCGATCCTCCCACCTCAGCCTCCCAAGTGCTGGGACTACAGGTGTGAGCCATGCCCTTTAAAGACGCAGACTATCTCAGATGCACAGACCCTGGGCTTCCTCTTCTGAGGCCCTGAGCCACACGAGGGTGGCCAAGACCCTTGAGGCATGGACAGTGTGACCCAGAGGGAAGGGTGCTGTGCCCTTACCTGGCTGCATCATTTTTGCTTTCTCCAAGCCTCGGATGCATGTGATCATCTTTTCCTGCAACTCAGCTGGCAGTGTCACAGACAACCCCTGAGGGTAGATAAGGTCAGAATCCATTCCTTCAGGTTCCAACCAAACCTGATGGACACGGTTTGGAAAGCGCAAAACCTTTGACTCAATGGAGGGGCAGTATCTAAAGCAAGACATCAAAGAAAAAACTGAGACAGAAAAAAATAAGATGTCACTTTAGTGGCTGAACACAACCACTCCGTGCTTACCGAGGCCCTTTTGTCGTTTCCTTCACGTGACTGTTAAGGTGAAGGTTCTCAAGGATGATGGCGTCCACCCTAGGGTTGGTGTGAGTCAGATGACAGGGCAGCTGATCTTCTGGCTAAAAAACAATAACCAGGGCCACACACTGTGCTAGTTTGCTTTTCTACTAGTTTGCCCCTTATTCAAATCAATTCTACATGATTTTTATTTTATTTTATTTTTCTAGTACTAAGAATCAAATTCAAGACCTTGCTCTTGCCAGGAAGATGCTGTGCCACTGAGCTATATCCCTGGCCTCTCAGGATCTTTAATAGACAATACTCTTTTTTTTTTTTTTGAGACAGGGTCTCACTGTGTGGGTCAAATTGGACTTGAGTTTACTAAGTGGCCGAGGCTGGCCTTGAACTGATCGTCCTGTCTCAGCCTCCCGAGTGCTGGGATTACAGGCATGCACCACCATGTGTGGTTGACAATACATTTACAATGTCCAGTGCTATCTATGAAGTTTTCTTGACAAAAATAACCCAAAAGACGAATCTAAATCTAAGAAAGCCTAGATCTAAGCACCAGTTTAGGGGGAAAGAGGTTAGAAGAATAAGGCACCAGAAGGGTATGATCAGACAATGTATGCTGTGGGAAGCTCTATGGAACCAACACCTCAATTTCTCCCACTTATAAATCCTAAGAAGAAAACCAGGAAATGGCTATAAAACAGCTTTTGACTGACCTTATTTTGTTCCTGGTCCAAATAAAACAACTACAAATATTTTTTTTTTTGGAGCAAGGCATGGCAGTACATGCTTGTAACCCCAGCTACTTGGGAGGCTGAGGGAGGATGATTGATAGTTTGAGTCCTGCCTGGGCAAATTAGCAAGATCCTATTGCAAAATAAAATTAAAAGTGCTGGGAGGTAAGAGTGCTTGCCTAGCATGCATAAGGCCTTGGATTCAATTTTCAGCACCACTAAATGATTGATTGAATGAGTGAATGAATGAATGAATGAGACAAGGAAAACCGAACACTGAGTGTTAGATTATGTTAAGAAATGTTTTGTTGCCAGGCGTGGTGGTGTATGCCTGTAATCCCGGCACTCAGGAGGCTGAGGCAGGAGGATCGTTGCAAATTCAAGACCAGCCTAAGCTACAAAGTGAGCTCAAGACCAGCCTGAACTGCATAGCGAGACCCTGAAATGATTTGTTGTGTGTGATCATGTTACCATGGTACAGCTGTTTTTGTTAAAAAGCTCTTTTTTATTAGTGACATATACCAAAGTACAAGTGAAATGATGCGTGATACACAGAACTACTACTTTAAGATCAGCAAGGAGGAGCCAGGCGTAGTAGCACATGCCTGTAATCCTAGCACTTGGAAGGCTGAGGTAGGAAGACCCCTGTGAATTCACACTCAGCCTGCATTACATAGTGAGACTCTGCTTCAAAAAACAAAACGACAACAATACTAAAATCTCTGCAAGAAGGAATAAAACAAGAATAACAAAATGTTACTGTTATGTGGATTTTTTTTTCCTCCTACACAAGGATTTTCTATGTAATTCAGGCTGGCTTTGAACTCACTAATGGAGCTCAGGGGGCCTCAAACTTGCTGTGATTTTCCTGCATCAGCCTCCCAAGTACTGTGATAACAGGTGTGTGCCACCATGCTTGGTGTGTTATGTGTTTTGAAAAAAGGCCTCCCTATCCAGTTAAGGCTGGCCTTGAACTCACTAGGTAGCCCAGGTTGGTCTGGAATTTGTAGTGTTTCTCCTGCTTCAGCCTCCCAATTGAGGAGTTACAGGTGTGGACCACCATACCCAGCTCCAAAATGTTATTTGCTGAAGCTAAGTGACAGATAAATAGATTCACTATATTTCCTTATTTTGTGTAAAAGTGAAAAGTTACCATAAAAAGTTTAAAAAGATACACATTTAGCTGGGCACAGGCCAGCTAATGTGATTTCTAGCATTCAGGAGTTGAAGCAGGAGAAACACCACAAGTTCAAAGTCAGCTGAATTACAAAGGGAGACCCTGTTTCAAAAATAAAACAAAACAGTACCTAGGCATGGTGGTGCGTGCCTGCTATCAGCACTAGGGAGGCTGAGGCTGAGGCAGGAGGGTCACTGTGAGTTTAAAGCCAGCCTGGGATACATGGTGAATATAGGGCCACATATTCAGGTCAGCCTGAATTACTACATCAAATTCTCTCTCTCTCTCAAAAAAAAAAAAAAAAAAAAAAAAAAAAAACCCACAACAAAACAAAAGTCAATTATTAGGACATTTACCCTAAGTCCTGCTCAATTCTAAACAAATGCTATGGTATACTGATTGACTGATTGATTTTGGTACTGGAATAGAACTCAGGACCTCGCTGCTGAGCTGTATCCCTGTCCTCACTGTTTTGTTTTTTTGTTTGTTTTTGTGGTACTGCGATTTGAACTCAGGGCCTTGTGCATGCTAGGCAAGCACTCCAAGCCCGGTTTGTGTGGCACATGGCTACAATCCCAGCACGAAGACTGAGGCAGGAGGATCATAGTGAGTTCAAAGCCTGCCTGAACTACATAGTAAGATCCTGTCTTAAAAAAAGAAAAACGAAACAGTAATCAAAAAGCAAGGCAGACAGAGGAACTGTTCCATATTAAAAAGAAATTAAAGAGAACTGACAGCTGAGTAAGGTGGTGACACCTATAGTCCCAGCTATTTGGAAGACTGAGGCAGAAGGAACATGTGAACCTGAATTCAAGACCAGCCTGGGCAACACAGCAAGACCCCAGAAAAGGAGCGGAAGGGGAGGAGGAGGAATAGGAGACAGGAGGAAGGTGCTAGAGAGTCATTCCAGAGGATATTGGAATAATCAGGAAAACCAGACTATGGATCTTCTGTTAGATAACATGCACTGTAACGATGTTAAATTCCTCAAATTTCACCACTGTGTTGAGGATACACATGTCTTTGTGTCAGCTGACACATGGACCAAAGCATTTAAAGGTAAAGGCTCAAGAACTCTGCAACCTACCCTCAAACATTCCAAAAAAAGTTGCTATTTTCCTGTCTACTTTTTGGTTGGGAGTGGTAGTAAGACAGTCTTGTTGTGTAGTCTAGGCTGGCTTGGAACTTGCTATACTCTATACCTGGCTTAAATACTGCCTTATATGTTAAATATATAAATTAGGGACTGGGAGTCACACTCACAAACTCATGCTTGCTGGGCAGGTGCTGTGCTGCTGAGCTATAGCCCCAGCCCGCATTTCTTTATGTAAAAGGAGGTAAATATGGTACAATATTATAAACAGGCAACTTTCAATGGCTTCGAGAAATGTTTTAATCATCTTACAATTTTTCTGTATATCTTAAATTATTTCAAAAATAGATAAAGTGAAGTTGGGAGCAGTAATACAGCCTGGAATCCTAGCACTTGGGAGGCTGAGGCATGAGGATCATGAGTTTAAGGCCACTGTAGGCTACACAGGCAGATTTTTGTCTTAAAAATTAGAAAAGAGGTTGGACATGGTGCTGCATGCCTGTAATCCTAGCACTAGAGAGGCTGAGGCAGGAGGATTACTCCAAATTAGAGGCTAGCCTAAGCTACATAGTGAGTTCAAGGCCAGCCTGAACTACACATGAGACACTATCTCAGAAAAAGAAAAGTAAAAAAGCCAAAGTTATTCAAGTGATGAAATTTAACAAATAGGCAAAGGGCCAGGGATTTAACTCAGTGGCATAAGCGCCTGCCTTGCAAGCACATGGTCGTGAGTTCAATCCCCAGTACCAAAACAAAAACAAAACAAACAAAAAACAATTAGGCAAACACCTAAGTAGCCAACTTAGCCAGTACTTTTTTTTTTTTTTTCCTTTTTCCTTTTTATCGGTACTGGGGATCGAACTCACGACTGCCTACTTACAGGGCAGGCGCTTATGCCACTGAGCTAAATCTCCAGCCCCTTAGCCAGTACTTTTAAAGTTCACTTCTTTGTACCCTAAGTAAGAGTGACATAAAGTAAATTGCCAGAAAAGAAATGGTTAAGCTATCTTCTGCTGGGAATAGCCAAGATCGACTATAAGGCCAGACTTCATAAATCGCTTACCTTAATCCACACAGTCTCATTGAGGAAGCTGAACGGTACAGATGGATTATCTGGTGTCTGCTTGTTTAGAATACTGAAATCAATAGACTCTTTCGCAATTCGGGGTGGAGTCCCAGTCTTCAATCTTCCCACCACAAACCCCAACTTCTCCAGAGTCTGAGCCAATCCTACAGAAGGTTGATCCCCCAGACGTCCTGCGGGATGCATTTCCAGTCCAATCACAACCATGCCTCTCAGAAACGTCCCAGTGGTCAGGATCACACTCTCTGCATGGACTGTGCTCCCATCCACTAAACAACAAGAAGGGAATAAAGCTATTTTCTATCAGAGCAAAATGGAGTATGAATGCATTACATTGAAGCTACAGGAAAACTTGTCTATAAAAACCTGAAAATCTTTTATAAATATACATGATGCCAGGTGTCCAGGAGCATGCTTGTAATCCCAGCACTTAGGAGGCTGAGGCAGGAGGACTGCTGCAAGTTTGAGGTCAGTCTGGGCTATATAGTGAGTTCAAGACCAGCCTGGGCTATATATGAGTTCAAGACCAGCTTAAACTAAATAGTGAGACCCTGTCTCAATAAAAAATGCTTGGCTTTAGTGGTTTTTTTTTTTTTTTTGAGTTTTATTGAAGTATGGTTGATGAATGAAAACATATTTACTTAAGTTGTGTAATACGGTATTTTATGCTATAAGTATACCTCATGTTATGGGTCCTACAGTGAAGCTAACATACCTGATGACTACCTCTTTTTACTGCATAGCCGAGGCTAGCCCCAAACCTGTGATTCTATGTTAGCCTCCCAAGTGCCAGGATCATAGCTTTCTACCACTGTGCCCAGGCCTTAGTTATCACATTAAGTGTCTGTTAAGAAGACTTAAGGTCTAGCCTAAAAGTACCCACCTTATAACTAAAAGTTTGTACCTTTTGGCCAAAATTTCTCCATTGCCCTGACCCCAAGGAAGAATTTTTTTTTTTTAAGACAGGGTCTTACTATGCAGTTCAGGCTGGACTTGAGCTCACTTTGTAGCTCAGGCTGGTCTCGAACTCACAATGATCCGCCTGCCTCAGCCTCCCAAGTGCTAACAAAGAATTTTAAATGAGTAAGATGAAGAAAGAAATAAAAATTGAATCACACCTTCAAACAAATGGATTAACAGATACATGTAGAATGTTCCACCCCACAAAATATACTTTCTGCTTAGCAGCACCCAGAACTTTGTCCAAAACAGACTGGCTTAGTCATTTTTTTTGTCACTGAGACACAATACCTGAAATCTACAAGTTATAGGAAGAAAGGTTAATTGTGGCTCCTGTTTCAGTCTATAGTCAGCTGCAAGGCAGGACAGCCAGGCAGAGAAGTACACAGGGGAGGAGAGGTGATCACTGCACTTACCATACATGGCAGGGAGGCAGAGAGAGACAGACAGAGAGGGAGGAGCCAGGAGAAGATTAACTCCTGTAGCTCACCCGCCCAGGTGAGACCAGACCCCTCCTCCCAACAGCACCCTCCAGCCCCACCAGTGAGTACACAGGGCTCTTTGGAAACATCCACATATAAACACTGACAGTATACTGGCCTGTAAATTTGACTTAAATAAATACAAGAGAATGAAAATCATGTCCTGCATATTATTAGATCATAGTACAATGAAACTAGAAGTCAATGCAAAAGAAACCACAGAAATTATGCAAACACATGGAAATTAAATTTTATAATCTTTTATTTTTGAGATAGGGTCTTGCTATGTATTCCGGGCTGGCTTCCAACTTGCAGCAATCTTCCTGCCCCAGCCTCTCGAGTGCTGGGATTACAGGCATGCACCACCACATCAGGCAAGATAGTTTTTAGAATCAAATGATGTCAGTATATCATGCCAGAATCTATGGGACACAATTAAGGCAATTCTTAAGGAAGCTTATACCTTGAATGCCCATATCAGAAAAAGAGTGAGCCCAATGATAACCTAATGATTGACCTCAATGTCCAGAAAAATAAGAATAATCCAAATCTAAAGCTAGTACAATGAGGGGCTAGGGATTTAGCTCAGCGGCATAAGCACCTGCCTTGCAAGTGTGCAGCCGTGAGTTCGATCCCTGGTACCAATTTAAAAAAAAAGCTAGTACAATGAAGAAAATTATATAAAGATCAGAACAGAAATTAATAATTGAGACTAAAAAATTACAAAGACTCGGTAAGTCAAAGAGCTGGTTCTTTGAAAGAATAAACAAAATAGATAAATCTTCAACCTAGCCAAAAAAAAAAAAAAAAAGGAAAGACAAGACCCATATCAATGCACTCAAGAACAAAAAAGGTGAGCCCACAACAGACACCACCGAAGTCTAGATGATTATTACCAACTACTTTAAAAACCTGAATCCCAGTAAATTAGAGAATCTAGAAGAAATGGACAGATTCCTAGATACATGAATTACCAAAACTGACCCAAGAAGATATAAACACCCTGAATAATCCAAAACCAGGCAATGGAATTGAGGCAGCAATAAAAACCCTACCTCATGTAAATATTCAATACCTAATGGATTCATTAATGAATTGTACAAAAACTTCAGGGGAAATCCTAAGGCCAATACTCCACTAACTCTTTAATGAAGTTGGAAGGGAAGGACAACTGGCTCATTCATGGCATATTACTTTGATATTAAAACTGTAAAGGGCTCAACTAAGAAAGACAACTACACAAAAATCCTCAAGAAGATACTGTCAAACAGACTGCAGCAAATCACCAAAAAGATCACCTATCGATGGATATGATGGCACACGCCCATAATTCCAGTGCTGGGGAGGCTGAGGTAAGAGGATCACTGAGTTTGAAGTCAGCCTTAAGCACATAGTGAGTTCAAGTCCAGCCTGGACTACACAGCAAGACTGTCTCAAAAGAATAAAAAGCAAATCATATTAGTAATACATCACATAAATAAAAGAACAAGGGGCTGGGGATTTAGCTCAGCGGCATAAGTGCCTGCCTTGCAAGCACGTGGTCATGAGTTTGATCCCTGGCATGGCTAAAAAGTAAATAAATAAATAAAAGAACAAAATCCACAGGATCATCTCAAAAGATGCAGAAATTTCACTTTTGACAAAATCCAATCCTCATTCATGATAAAAACTCTGAAGAAAACAGGTATAGAAAGCTGGGTACGGTGACAGAAAGGTGGGTATGGTGGCATAAACCTGTAAACTCAACACTTGGGAGGCTGAGGTAGGGGAGTCATAGGTTCATGGTCAACTCAATCTGAACTACACAGAGGGACGGTCTCTAAAACCAAAAGGTATAGAATGACCTTATCGCAATCTGATAAAAGCCATTTATAACAAGCCTGCTACCAACATCACACCCAAAGGGGAAAATTGAAAACTTTTCCTTTAAAATCAGGAATAAGACAAAGATGACCACTATCATCCTTCCTGTTTAATATAGTACTCAAAACTTTTATTATTGTTATTTTTGTCTTTTTGAGACAGGGTTTTACTATGCAGTTCAGGGTAGCCTTGAACTTGAAAGTAATCCTCCTGCCTCAGAAACATTTTTTTTTATACATCAAAAAATTTTTTATTCACACAAGTTCTTGCTTTGCTAAACAATTCTAAAATTCATATGGAATCAGAAGAGATCCAGAATAGCAAAAGCAATCCTAAGCAAGAAAAGCACAACAGGTAACATCACAATCCTGGATTTCAAGTTATACTTTAAAACTACAGTGATAAAAACAATATAGTACTGGCACAAAAATAGACATGGGTCAATGGATCAGTGAATCAATGGATCAGACAGAGGATGCAGAAACAATCCCAGGAACTTTCAGCTATCTAATCTTTTTTCTTTTTCTTTCTTTTTTTTTTGTCTTTTTGAGGTAGGGTCTCACTATGCAGTTCAAGCTAGCGTTGGGCCCACTTTGTAGCCTAGACTGGTCTCAAATTTGCAATGAACCTCCTGCCTCAACCTTCCAAGTGCTGGGACTACAGGCATGAGCAATAATGCCCAGCTTCAGTTATCTGATCTTTGATAAAGGGCCAAAAATATAAACTGGAAGAAACTCAGCCTCTTTGGAAAATGGTTCTGGAAAAGCTGACTATTCAAATGCAGAACACTGAATCTGGATCCATCTCTTACACATTGTACTACAATCAAATCAAAAGATCAAAGACCTAGATATAAAAATAGAAATACTTTGCCAGGTGTGGTGGTGCAGATCTGCACTTGGAAGGCTGAGGCAGAACAGCTGTGAGTTCAAGGCCAGCCTTGGCTACATACTGAGTTTATATTTAGCTTCAACAACACAGTGAGACTCTTTAAAAACAACCAAAAATAAGTAAGTAAAATAAAATAGAAATACTTAATCTGCTGCTAAAATAAAATAAAACTCTTGAAGACACAGGCATCAGCAGGGATTTTCTAACAAAACCCTAACTGCACAAAAATTAACATTAAAAAAATGGGATCATGGCACATTCAAAAGTTTTTACACAGCAAGGGAAATGACCCAGACTGAAGAAACAATCTACAGAATGTCAACAAAATTTTGCCAGCTCTTCCTCACAGGACTACTATCTAGAATATATAAACAGCTCAAAAATAGATCACCTTCATGAGCAAAAGACCTAATCAAAATATGGGCAACTAAAATGAATAGACACTTCTCAGCAGAAGTACAAATGGTCAAGAAATACATAAAAAATATTCAACACTTCTTGCCATTGAATAAATGCAAATAAAAACAACACTGATGTTATCTGAATGTACTTCAAAAAGAACGGTTATCAGAGAGAGAGAGAGAGAGAGAGAGAGAGAGAGAGAGAGAGAGATGAAGCAATAACAAATGCCAGAGAGGTTGCAGGGAAAAGGAATTCTTTAACATTTTTGGTGAGGATGTAAACTAAAACAACTGGTATAGAAATCGGCATGGCAATTTCTCAGAAAACTAAAACCAGAAATTCCATTCAATACAGTTATTCCCCTTCTAGATTACCCTTCCAAAAGAGTTGAAGACATTACAGTGGTATATGCACACCTACACTTAAAGCAGCACAGCTTGCAACAGTTAAATCCTGAAAGCAGCCTATCTGTCCAACAGATGGATAAAGGAAACGTAGTATTTATACACAATGGAGTACTACTCTGCCATAAAGGACAAATCTGAGTCATTTATAGAAAAACAGATGCATCCTGAGACTACAATGTTTCGTAAAATAAATCAGACACACAAGCTTAAATATTGCAAAATTTCTTTTCTATGAGAAACCCAAAGTATACATGAAAACAAAAT